AATTATGAATTCTTCTGTCGAAGTTTCATACGAAGATTTTATGCAGTTGTGATCTTTGTTAAACATGTCCATGAAACATGTACTTCAAACAGAAGTTGATTTCACATTATTTATAATAGTTGTATTTCAAGAAACAATGAGTCTCGGTATTTTAAATTAAACAAAAATACCTACAAAAGAAGTTATATAAATAGAGTTGATAAATATTTTTGTTCATTATGCTTAACAATAGATATTTATAATATATATTTTTAATTTTGTTGTTCAATTTAATAATTAAACTACATCGCATCGATAATATACTGTAGTGCAGTAAACGGAGAGGAAAAAAGGGTATAACCTCTGAATTTTTTTACTGTGCTCCGAATTGAATGAAACTTTGGAATTAGGTTCATCTTACCCTCAAGTTCAAAAGTGAAAACAATTCGGGTTGCGCCATCATCCCCCGGGGGGATGACGCCCCTTCTCAATTGCGTAATTACATTTTTTCAAAATAACGTCGGAAATCGATAGAAGAACTAATTATAAGAATAAAATGTCTTTTATAGTTTTTCAAAAAAACTAATACTTTTCAAGTAACATGCCACTAAAGATTCATATATTTTTGGCGCTTTTCTTCGTTTTTTTTGCAAATATCTCCTAAAATATACATTTTAACGAAAATCATGTAATGAACAAAATAATGTCAATAAAAATATTAATATATCGGTATTACATAAAGTGTTTTAGAAAAAATATTAAGCAAGATTTGAAAGAGCAAAGTCGTTTTTTATTCCGTTCAAGATTTAATTGTTGTATTTAAAGCCATCTAGTGTCGAGGTTTTACATTTTATACATTTCGGTGAAATTGGGTTTTCTAGTGCTTAACATAAGCTTTAAAGTGAGTGCTGTTACAAGTCTTACGTGTAAAATGAGTGAGCTATCATGCAAATAAGATGCATATACGAAGTTTTTTTCTTTTAAATCATATAGTTTAATGAGCGCCATTTCCACCAGAATTAAAGTAATTCACATTCCATCTAGAATTCACTTCATTATAGACATCTTGATAGATTCTAGCAGATTCACTACTTTAGTACAAACTATTTTCAGAAAACTCACGATTTTATAAAAACTTTTTTCTCCAATTTTTTAAAAAATCGAAATTATTTTCATTAGATCTCAAAAAGAATAAAAGATACGTATAAAAGCATATAGATAAAAATTAAAGGGTTCTTTCTGGGTTATTATTGTTTTTTATTTTTTTTCTTTCACACAAAAATTGACAGAGTTATGAATGTTTAAGACTGCGCGGCCGCGCAAATTGAAAAAAAAAGTTTTTATAAAATCGTGAGTTTTCTGAAAATAGTTTGTACTAAAGTAGTGAATCTGCTAGAATCCATCAAGATATCTATAATGAAGTGAATTCTAGATGGAATGTGAATTACTTTAATTCTGGTGGAAATGGCGCTCATTAAACCATATGATTTAAAAGAAAAAAACTTCGTATATGCTTCTTATTTGCATGATAGCTCACTCATTTTACACGCAAAAAACTTGTAACAGCACTCATTTTAAAGCTTCTGTTGAGCACTATAAAACCCAATTTCACCGAAATGCATAAAATGTAAAACCTCGACACTAGATGGCTTTAAATACAACAATTAAATCTTGAACGAAATAAAAAACGACTTTGCTCTTTCAAATCTTGCTTAATATTTTTCCTAGAACACTTTATGTAATATCGATTTATTAAGATTTTTATTGACATTATTTTGTTCATTACATGATTTTCGTAAAAATGTATATTTTAGGAGATATTTGCAAAAAAACGAAGAAAAGCGCCAAAAATATATGAATCTTTAGTGGCCTGTAACTTGAAAAGTATTAGTTTTTTTGAAAAACTATAAAAGACATTTTATTCTTATAATTAGTTCTTCTATCGATTTCCGACGTTATTTTGAAAAAATGTAATTACGCAATTGAGAAGGGGCGTCATCCCCCCGGGGAATGATGGCGCAACCCGAATTGTTTTCACTTTTGAACTTGAGGGTAAGATGAACCTAATTCCAAAATTTCATTCAATTCGGAGCACAGTAAAAAAATTCAGACCTAAAACGCTCCGTTTACTGCACTACTGCAGCTATTAATTCGTGTAACTTCTTCAAAATTAGAAATAAAATGTTGGATCTTTTTGCTCCCTGGCTGTCTTATTTTATCGTGATTATGGTAAAAGGAAATAAATGTCAATTTTTTGTAAAAATAGCAAAAATATATCTGCGATCAGGAATTAACTAGAGATTTTACTGAACATAGTTAAATAGTTATTCGTTTGATTCGTGTTATTATTTATTTTGATGTAGTTGGTTTGGTTTTTACAATATAATTGCCAAAATTCAAATTGGCCCTTTGTGTCCAGCTCTACCTTATATATAATGTTCTACAAATAAATCTTAACAATACTTAACAGCAATTAGTAGCGAAAGAATAATGATAATAAATATCTGAATCTAGTTTATTTCATTCCATGCTATATTATAAAAATACAATTCACAAAATTTGGCTTGATTTTGACTTTCAAACAATTTGAAATACACTATTTTTGCTCATTTACCAAAAGCGAAATTCACGTCTAATTAAATCCATATTATATTTGTATTAAAATTGAGATTATTATTACACAAGAAAATTTTACATCTTTGTCTTAATATAATTAAATGTATTAATTCTAATAAACAGAACTCAATGATAATTATTATCGAAGGATAGAGACAAGGATAGAGTTTCGAGGTCGATACTTGCACGATCGTTCGTGTATTGGATTATCAAGGTTATATGTTTTCTTGGAAAATTCATATTATTATATTTAACTTTTCATTAATAATCATCACTATATCCAAATTTACGTCTTAACTAAATTTATGGAGTCAGATAGAGTTGTGAAATTGAAATGAAGCCAATAATCATATTTGAAATGCTGTCAAAAGCATTTGAAAGAGACAAATTGTTTCGATGGTAATTTCTATTTTAGAAATTTGTTATTTTACACAACGTTTCAGCAAAAATGCATTTTTTGTTGTTTGGCGTATCTATAATAATGATAAATAAATAATTGAAATGCATGGTTTCAGTCAGGATTGTTATTTTTCTGGCTGATTCTCATGACTGATTTTTTATAGTATTATTAACTTATCGAAGGTTTATGAAATTGCGATTTGCTAATTTTATTTTTAATTTTAATCAAACTTTAGTCAACATTTCTTTACTATTAGCCGATATTATAAATTTTAAAACTGTTCGAAAGACATCAGTTTATGTTTTCGCCAGAAATTGCGATTTGCTAATTTTATTTTTAATTTTAATCAAACTTTAGTCAAAAATCAAACTTTTGTCTTTACTATTAGCCGATATTATAAATTTTCGAAAGTTGTAGCTGTTCGAAAGACACCAGATGTAGTTTCAGTAAACCCGAGCTAATTCTTAGATTCAAGATTGTATAAATGTGTTTTTATTCTGTTTTTCAAGAATTTGTCACCTGGTCCTTATAGGTGCGGTAAAATAGGACCAAACAGGTCTTATTCTTATTTTTAATTTTAAAAGGATTTCATTAAATAGTTGCTACATTATTCTAACAATACAAAATATCGGTGGTGGACTTTTTTACCCGCGGGCCTTTAAGCCCCACTGTACCCTATTCTAAAATATTATGGGTCTATGAAAAATTCATATTTAGAAAATAATTTTTATCGTTATCAATTGGGCACACCTTACGAACGAATGCGCCTCTTGTCTGGATTTGTGCAACATATATGTTTGCGCCGACTGGGAGAGTTAAAAAAACATGTTTTTCGTATTGATAATGCGGATTTGTATCGGGAAAGTAATTAAAATTTTGGATTAAGTTACACAAAATGTCTATTTTGTCGAATAAACTAAAATTAAAAATAACTAGCAATATATGGCATCGTGCCTTGAGGCAAATTGCTGTAACTTTGCGTACAGAACTAAAATTTTGAAAATCCGAATGATTACCGATAGTATTTTTTTTTTCTTTTTCCTAAAACAATCGTTTCGTCAACAAAAGTCAAAAGTTTCTGAATCATTCAAATTGGATGCTTATTTCTTTCAAAAACTGCCATTTTTTGCACATTTAGCTCCGTATCTCCGAAATGGCTGGACCTGTCTTTGTCAAAAACTAATCAGCACATCTCCCCAAAGTAGGAATCGAATGTTTTTTGAACCATTCAAATCGGTTGAACCGTGCGCCCCAAAAACGTGGACGAAAAATTGTATCCATACATAAATACACATACACACACATCAATTTTTTCTAAGGTATTTATGCAAAAATGTTAATTTTCGATTAATAGACGATTACAATAACTTACCCTACGGGAAGTTAAAAATATATACAAAAATGTTGAGTTACGAATCAAAACTGGATGAATGACAGAATTTTTTTTTGATTAATTATTTACGTGTATCAACAAAATGCGAAATTTTATAACTAAACTTTGAGTTCTTCTTTTGAGTAAGCATTTTTAAAACTCGCTTTATAACTTTAAACAAACTATTGAAACTCTAATAGCAGAAACTTCAAATTTTGAGCAAAATAGTTAAGTTTGCGGATTATATTATTTAGGTTCTGAATAAATATACAAAATTGTACTCAAAATACAATTGACTAAACTGGTTAAAAATATACAAAGCTAAAAACGATTAAAATTTTTAATCTATTTTTAGAAACATCAAAACCCATAAATATATTATATTTTTTATCCATCAATGATTATCGCAATGATATTCAAGTTTTTTGCAGTGCGGCTCGATACACAACTTGTTTAACTTTTATTTACTTATCCTTAATATTGGTGTATCACGATTGTTATCGCGATTATATCATTATCGGTAAAAAGCGCATTTCATACAACGCGTTATAATTCCAAGTAATCGATGATTAAAACGATATTTATTATTGAACGAGTGCGCATTAGAAAAAAATAATAAATAACCTGACATACCTGAACTGGTAAGTAATCCGTCTTGTAGCCAAGGATGCAGAAAATCGTACGTCTTACTTTTCTTGATATGCCTCATACTAGACAACAGAACCTGCAAACCCATAGAATTTTAATAATGGTTTGTTTATTTATTTGCATATTATTTAGTCTACTTTCGTGCATATATTATACATAAAGATTTACTTTCATAATTTCAGCATAAACTTGTCGAGAGTTGATTTGAGAACAGAAAAGTTGAATTCTTTTCGCACTTTTCGAACTGTAATCTATATTTTTTAAATATTATTACTATTATCATTGCTCGTATAAGATAAAATAAAATTTTTAAATTACTTTCTAGTAAACATTATAAATTGTTTGTTTTATTTATTTTAGTTTTTCCATTCATCAACTTCTATTTTGTATTTCATTATATACATATATATACATCTAAATATATATAAATATATGTGTATGTGTTTGTGTGTGTGTAATAATTTTTCAGATGGTGATAAATATGTCGATTAAACAAAATACTTCTTAACGGGCATCCATCCAAAATTAAAATAAAAGTTAAATATACAGTACCTTGCAAAAGTTTGGTCTCACTTGGGAAAATCGTTTTTCTTTGTCATTTTATTTATCGTTCTCCTCAGGCAGTTTAATGTACGTATTGATATAAAAAAACATCTTAAGTATTATTTTTGAGCATTTCCTTTAAATTCTCGTTTATTTATTGTACAGAAATATGTTAATTTTCCAAATAAATGTTACAAATTATCACTTTGAATTACATTAACTATTTTTTTGAACTCAAATAAACTTTTACTTTACATCAAATCGAAAAGCCAACATATTGATGAAAAACGGCTGGATTGATTTTTTTCGTTTTTTCCACAAAAATTCAAAAATATCACATGTAAATGTTTTTAACTCGTAAATTGAATGTAAACTCAACGAATCTGTTACATTAAACTCTCTGAGAATGATGAATAAAGTGATGAATAAAAAAGACAACGATTTTCCTAAGTGAGTTCAAACTTTTGCAAGGTAGTGCATCTCTTCAAATAATTTTAATAGATTTAATAGATAATAATGATTTAATAGATACGTTCCGAGTCTCAATTTGACTCTTCCTCAGTGAAATAAAAGACACAACTTATTAAGGCACAAACACAAATAAAAAAATATTATGCTTGCGGTGCAACGTGGTCACATTTTACTCTTTGAGACGTGATGGTCGAAATTATTATATTCGTTTATTTTTTTTTTGTTTTTTAAATTCGTTTTTTATTTTTTTACTGATTTGGTTGTGTGAAGTAATATAGTCACTGATCATGTTTTGTTTGTATTTGTGTCTCTAACTTGTATGTTTTGTTCAACTGAGGAAGAGTCAAATTGGGACTCGAAACGTATGCATCTATTAAAATTATTATTAAAAGAAGATTTTAGAGATTTTTGTATATATATATATATATATATATATATATATATATATATATTTATAGGCCGGGAATCTAATTTCCAATTTTACTTTGAACCATTATATTGTGAAAACCAAACCAATTATATCACAACAAATATTGCACATTGAACAGAAAACTATCTTACTATGTCCACTAAAACACCAGGCTAATTAATTATTGTAGAAATGTCTTTCAAAAATTTCTTTACCCCGTAAACTTTTAATTTCAAATGGATATTACAAAATAATATATAGGTGCATTATTTTTTAACTTAATTTAGCTTTTATTTTGTATTTTTTATTTTTTACACTTTTGCCAAGGAAAAGGTTTGATTGGTTCTTTTTACCCTACCCACGTGCACGTGTAAGTTTTTATAGAGGTTATATAAAAAAACTATCGAATCTAATTTCAACTTAACAATACATCTTGTAGAACAATTAAATAATATATAGTTAAATGTTACATTAAGGTCTCATAAACTAAACGACAACCAAAAAAACTAACAACGAAATCAAATATTTTTGTTATGGATTTTCAAACATCGCCGTTTATCTGCCGATAGCAACGTCGTAAGAATCAACTGGTTACGCAATGCATTCTTTTTTCTCTACTTTCAAATATTTTTGTTAAAAAATTCCTAATTTTTGAGATATTGATAGTGGACCCTTCTACCCGCAAACCTTTAAGGCCCGCTTTTCTTTATTTATTTTAATTTTCTTCAATTATCAAGATCTGTCGAAATGTGAATCATATTAATTTTTTACATTATTTAAGTAAGTGCGCAATTAGTAAGAAACAATTGAAAAAAACACCTTTTCACCGATAATTGTATTGTAAATTTTAATAGTAGTATATTGTATTGTTTTGCTTTTATTGTTAGTTTTTGTTTATAGAAACGCTATTAGGTGTTTGAACGAATGCCAACTACGCGATATTAAGTAATCGAATTCCATCAATCCAATTGATCGATCGTTTTGCGTAACTTGCATTATCGACCACCTGCAATGGTAATGATTGCGAACAATTAAGAAACTCTTATCTATCCCATTAAACTTATAATTAGATGTGTACACATTGTTATGGGTGTCAATTTACAATTACACTTACTTGATTATTTTAATTTTACAACAATGCATAGAAAAGTCATTCAACTTGAGATTATTCTCGATGGCGGAACTATCATCTGTGATTCAGATTTTTCTCTATAATTTTCTATTTTCGAAAAATTGAATAAATTTTTTTGCCTCTTACAATCATGAAACACAAGCACATATGCTAATATATTATATCCAAATACACCATATGTATATTGAATTTTAGTTATATTTTCATTTTATTTCCAACTGCGATGTGCCAAAAAATATGTTTATGCTGGTGATTTGACAGGTGTCACGTATTTGATTTATAAATTATGTTGTGGGAATAACCGTTCAAATTAAGAATATATATATATATATATATATATATATATAATATATATATATATATATATATATATATATATATATAATATATATATTAGGGTGGTCCTTAAAATGGTCATTTTCGAATTTCTTTGATCTCAGGGGCTCAAATGGTTCCAAATTGATAAAAAACAATTCTCTGAAAGTTTTAGCTCTTAATATTAACATTTAGATAGAGCGCAATTCAATCAAACTTCGTATGGAAAGAGCATGGAAAAAATTTTGAAAATTTAAAAAAAATGTTTTAGGTATAACTTAGCGACAAATGAATGAGTTTTATTCATTCATTTGTTCGCTAAATTACTTATAAAAAACAATTTTAAAATTTTTGAAAATTTTTTTATGCTATTTCCATACAAAACTTTGATTGAATTGCGCTCTATCTAAACGTTAATATTAAGAGCTAAAACATTTAGAGAATTGTTTTTTATGTATTTGGAACCATTTGAGCCCCTGGGAGCAAGGAAATTCGAAAATAATTATTTTAAGGACCACTCTAATATATATAGGGTAGAGCGGGGCACAAAGGTACAACCTGACTTGCAGTATTTATACCGCAAAAACCAAACCAACTACATCAAAACAAATACCACATATTAAATAAACAACTATATAACTATGTTCAGTAATATTTTCTGCTAATTCAACATTGAAAACTATGCTTGTTATTGCTATTTTCTAAAAATTTGCCATCTGATCTTTTTTGCACTATAGGCGAGGTAAAAAGGAACAACCAGGAACAAATAGATCTATCATTTTATTTTTATTAAATAGAGGTTTTATGAAATAATAACTGCGTTATTTAATAAACGCGATACAGTTTAATAATCTAAATATGTATTTTTAAATTTAATAAATACACAATTTTATCAACTCGGTATGTGGTTCTGTTCAATTTATCATAATCGGACTTATTGTTTCTTGTAATACAATTATTACAAATACAGTGTATTTAACTTCGGTTTGAAATTATATATTTTATGGGCTAATATATTTTATTTCTTTATTTCATATTTTAGAAAGAGCACACTGCATAAAACCTTTCGTATGTAACTTCGTCAGACAAAATCATCATCAGAGTTGGAATTTTACCCCGACCACATGTAAGCTATTCTAGAGTTTATATAAAAAACTGTGCGAATATAACTTAAAAATAACAAAACTTCTTATTAAACGATTACAAACTATCGTAAACTAGACAAACGTGCTCAAAAACAAAAAGTGTAACGACGAATAATGTTCTTTCGTTTAAAATTGTACTATGTGGCCGTTTATCTTCTGATTGCGACGTCGCCCGATTTAAGGCGAAGGCTGGTTATATAACTTTTGCCTTCTACTTGAAAATAGTATGTTTAAAAAATGTCATATTTCACCTGGTAAACATTTTTACTATAGCCCTTATAAGCCCTGTTCTACCCTAATGCTTATTTTGAAATAATGCCTCATGCCAAGGCATAAGTTAAATCTATCCGTGTCATGTAATTTTAACAATGTAATTAGCGTCTTAAATTAAATTTTATGGTTTCTTATGCGCACTTGCAAATAAAATTGGATTAAGTTGAAATATATATCTGATTTTTATCTTTTTTTATTTTAAATTATTAGGTAAAGACAAAGGTCTAATTTGACTTTGTTGCTTTTCAAAAATTTGACAGCCAGTGGGCAAACAGATCCAATGTATCATTTTTAATTTTAAAGGAATTTCACGAAATAATATCTGCATTAATCAACCAATGCAAAATATAAATTTCATGAATACATTTTTACAGAAATAACACTGTATATAACCTTCACCTGATGTTTCTCAGAAATAATCATCAGCGTAGTTGGAATAACTAATGTAGTAATTAATTTTTTGTAAAATGGCTTTTTAAACTGAATTAACATTTTTATTTACTTTTTTTTGAATTTTGAAAATTGTATTAGTTTGAAAATTCCTTATATATGGTGTTAGTCCTTTTACAGACTATAAATATATATTATTATAGTCTTACCGTATAAACATTGCCACACTTCCTATCCTTTACCAAGACTTTTCAGTTAACAGATATGCTTAATCTTTAACTGTTTCGAAATAAGAGAAAATGAATTTAAACCACTTTCTTTAAAATAAGCGGTTTTTATATCTTATCCATTTGAAATGCTGAATAATCTGAACTATAATAAATTAATAATTATATATTATATAATCATAAATAATGTATAGAGTAGCGTCAGATTATATATATATATATATATATATATATATATATATATATATAATACGTTGTCGTGGTATATTTTTAATTCTAGGTACTTTGAACCGGTGCTTACATAGGGGCTTTTAATAGATATTATTCATTCAAGAATGTTTACTATCATTGGCATTCCATTCTTCATGACTCGGTGAATGCGATCGTTTCTCAGAACGTCCGTTTTATGACACTTAATTATAAGAGGAAGTACAAACCGGATTATTTTCCATAAGACTTTTCTTTCGACTCATAGTTGAGAATTTTTTACGAATCCTCGGATAATAAAAACATTAATCAGGTGCCATTAATAAATGTCGATGTGTTTACTTACACATTATAGTAATTACACAACCGTAAAAATATGTATTGTGCGATCTCGAATGCGAAAAGAGAGAAAACAACAACGAATCGTTCGCAATCAATTTTGCAAAACCGGTTAGTTAAATCGTATGTCAGTTAAAATACTGTTAATTAAAATATTTTTATATTGTAATATTTACCTCAATGTCTTCAGGTCTCAGGAGACAAACTATAGAAATGGCCATCACTCGAGTTTTGTATATCTTCGGGTACAACTTGGCCCATTTTCTCAGCGAACTGAAAAGCTTTGCTGTAAAAAATATATTTTGATATAAATATATTAGTTTGATTTCCATAATAATTTAACATAATGGAATAAAATTAAAATTTATTATTTTAGGCTACATTAATGGTTAAATTTCTATTTCTACCTTCAGTTATTATGAAAATTTTAATTATGTAAAATTATTTTGTAATATGGCTTCTATATTAAAGTGACCATACGTCCCGGTTTGGCAGGGTCAGTCTCGTATTTCCTGCTTGTATCCCGGGTTTTTCTAAAAGCAATATTTGTACCGAATTGTCCCGAATTGTTCTTTTTGGTTTTCAAAAAATATAGGTTTTAACTAAATCTGCGCTCTTACTTGATAATATAAGATTTAAACTTTCATTTTCACTTTGACTAATAAACTAACCAACACCACCCCTCCCCCGTTCCAGGATTAACGTAACTACAAATTGTCATCCTGGTTTTGACATAAAAATATGGTCACCTTATCTATATATTACCAATAATGGTACTATCATATATATTTTATATGAAAAACATTTTTACATTATTTACATTAGTAAATCGCGATTTAAAACAAATCCTCTCCGAAGAAGTAGCACATGCCCAAAAATGTTCAAAACTATACTTTGAAACATATCACAAATATGGATAGAACTTTTAGTTATTTCTTATTCTTCTTGTTTATATATTTTATCATTTTTTACAATTTCCAAACTATTAGTAACTAGTGGTGTATGGCATCGTGCCTTAAGACAAATTGCTGAAACTTTCCGTACCTTAATGAATTTCGATTATTCGAGGAATATTAAATATTTTAAAATTAATAATTATAATTAATATAACTTTCATTATTCATATTTTATAAAAATTAAATAAACAAAACTTAATCAATCGGATTTAAAATGAAGAACATTGTCAAATATTTCTAAGTATTTAATAAGAACTTTAGCTAGAATTAGAATTAAAACCGAATTATTTCTCGATATTCTAAAAAAAATTTTTTGAGAAATAAAAAAATTGGATTAAAAAAAATCTTTCCCCAAAACAATCTTTTCGTCAACACAAGCAGAAAGTTTTTTAAATCATTCGAATCGGATGCTTAGTTCTTTCAAAAATTGCCATTTTTTGCACCTTTAGCTCTATATCACCGAAACAGCTACACGTGTCTTTGCCAAAATCCAATCACCACTTCTTCCCATCATTACGAATCAAATGTTTTTTGGATTATTGAAATCGATTGATGCGTTCTTCACTTTCTGCTTTATATCTCCGAAGTCGCCGATCCAGTCTTCGTCAAAAACTAATCAGCACGTCTCCTCATCAATAGAAATCGAATGTTTTTTGAACCATTCAAATTGGTTCATCCGTACGCTCGAAATCATCGACGAAAAATTGTCTCGACACATACACACCCACACACATACAAACGCATCCATTTTTTCTGAGGTATGCCAAAATGTTCAGAAACCTTTATAACGTGATGATATGCAAAAATTTTATTACCGATTTTTGGCCCATTACTATAACTTACTCTACGTGAAGTTAATAATAGCGCATTCTGGATTATTACTTAGTAAAAGTTTTCTTAAAACGTTTAATAGCACCATTTCTGGAACAGAATTTCAGTTATTTGGTTGAAAATCGTAATTTAATAAAATTAGACGTTTTTCATTAAGTCATTGTTGAATATTGGTACGACTAATTCCTCGTATATTGTAAAATTTAAATACATATGTAAAGTTAACTGACAATAATATAATATATTACAAGAGAAAGCTGCAGAAGATATTATTTTAAGACATAACGTTAGCAAAATTACTTATACCAAACAACAAAGTTATATACAACTTAAAAAACGTTACATTCAAGAGTCGGAACAACTATATGACATAATATGCAAATTTATTATGATGTTTCTCTATATTAGAAAGCGAGCTCGTTCGCAGGTCTTTTCGCAGTTAAAATACAAATATGTATATCTCTATTATTATATTTTCATCACTCAATTTAAGCTAATAATAAATCTCTATTTCCGTTTATACGTTTTTGTAATGAATTGTTGTAACCGCTAACTCTATATCATATCAATGACGCATTTCCGCACAGACGCAACAGGCGCTTGTCTAGCGCACAATGACACAAACTTATCAAGTTATTCCCTTTAATTAATTGTCGAGTTAATTTAATAAAATATCATAACGAATGTTTTGATGATCAAATCGTGTCAGTTCACAAAATTAATTGCTTTGCGAAATCCATCAAATCAATAATAGTTTCTGAAATGAATAATAAAATATTTTTCTACTAGAGTTTGATTCAATCTTTGATGCACGAAAATAATAAATAAATTGAATATTAATTTGAAATATTAACTTTTATTCCTATAGAGTAAGTTATAGTAATCGCAAAAAAATCTAAAATGATTTTTTTATATATCTTTACGTTTCAAAGGTTTCTGAACATTTTGGCATACCTTACGATTAGAAAAAATGGATGTATGTGTGTATGTGTTGGTGTGTGTGTGGGCGGATACAAATTTTCTTCGACGATTTCGAAAACACGGATCAACAGATTTGAATGATTTAGAAAACATTCGATTCGTATTTATGGGGAGAGAGCTGATTAGTTTTTGGTAGGTCCAGCTGCTTCGAAGATACGGGGCAAAAAATGGCAATTCAGTTTTTGAGACAACGGAGCGACCAATTATGATGATTCAAAAAACATTTTACTTGTATTGACGACATGAAGATTTGATTGCAAAAAGCTATTTGGTGGTCAAATATGATCATTAGCCATATGCACATCAAATTATCAGATATTTTATAGAGATTTTAATAATAAGTACAAATTTTGTTTACATTTCTATGGGTTTCGTATCTATGTTTATCTGTTCGACTACGACGCGGCGGTGCTTTTGAAGAAATTTTCAAAATATAAAAAAATCAGAATTCTATAAAATCAAATTCTCTCAAAGTTTTCGAAAAATTTTAACGCTTTTTTAAAAAAATATATTTTCTGTACGGGAAGTTTCAGCAATTTTCCCTAAGGCACGATGCCATGTACCACTAGTTAATCATGTTCTATTGAAATAGGTTGACGTAGGTAGTGTTCAGTATGAAATTATTGTAACATAATAATAAATCTACGCGAGTGGCCTTATGTGGCTCGATAGAATTACCTTGATCTCCGTATACGTCTAAGAAGTTTCCAATGATCGGATAAGCTCTAGGCCCCGGAATATCTTTAAGTGACTCTGCATTGCATTTTTTTTCAATGAGAAAATGTAGAAGACACAAACAAAGTATGATCATCAAAGCGGCGAAAGAAATCGTAACCAGATCCATTGTCGCAGATCTTAAATCGCTCACTTCACAATAAACGGTTCAAACACAAACACTTGAGTAGTCGTCTTTATTAGCGTACACTGTCCACGAAAATTTCGGTCGCTCGTCTATTTTCACCAACGAGCCATGTCATCGAGTCTTCGAACAGTATTGACAGTTGGAAATCTTCGGCTGTACGGTTTAACATTTCACTTGCACGAGTAACCGGTTTGTCGGAACCGTGCCATATACAATAACACAAATATTAAAAATCACTTAACTCTTTCCGTAGTTCGACTCGGCGTGGCGACTCGGTTAATGTAATTCCGATTCGGATCGGTTTAATGGCTTGCGCAATTTTTGTTTACTCGCGAGCGATCCCGGTGCACGTGCACTCGACCCGACCACGTGTTGAATGTGCCGATTCGGCAGTCGCTCGGATCCGCAAATGACGCTACGTGCGAACACCTTCGCTAGAACTGATGCAAACTCACAAACTCACAAACGATACAAATGATGTGCTCATGAAAAGATTTCTTAATAGTCGGCGGCGGCCCCCTCCACGGACGCTTTTATTATTACGAGAGGCACCATGGAAGCACCGCACAAGGCATAAGTCGGCCGCGGATGCGAGAGACGCGGTCAATCGCGCCAGAATATCACTCTAGAACACAACCAGAGAAAGAGTTGGCCGTGTCGTATACGTTGCATTAGATTAGTCGGAACACTGCGCGGGCTTGAGTATTCATTCCTAATAAACGTTATCACTTTCTTCTTATTATATATCGTTTATTAACTTCCCGTAGGGTAAGTTATAGTAATCGCAAAAAATCGAAAATGAAAATTTTTATATATCTTTACGTTTCAGAGGTTTCTGAACATTTTGGCATACCTTAGAAAAAATGGATGTATGTGTGTGTGTGTGTGTGTGTGTGTGTGTGTGTATGTACGTGTGTGTATGTATGTGCGGATACAAATTTTCGTCGACGATTTCGGGAACACGGATCAACCGATTTGAATAATTTAAAAAACATTCGATTCGTATTGATAAGGAGACGTGCTGATTAGTTTTTGGCGAAGGCAGGTCTAGCCGTTCCGAAGATACGGGGCAAAAAGTGCCGAAAACGGTAACTCAGTTTTTAAGAGAACGGAGCGTCCGATTTGAATAATTCAAAAAACGTTTCACTTGTATTGACAAGATGAATAATCGATAAAATTTTCATGAAAGTAGGTCTAGCGGTTTCGGAGATATGGAGGAAAAAGTAAAAAAATGAGCCATTTGGCGGTCAAAAATGATCATTAGACATATGCACATCAAATTATCAGATATTTTATAGAGATTTTAACAATAAGTATACATTTTGTTAACATTCCTATAGGTTCCGTACCAATGCTTATGCGTTAGACAGCGACGCGGCGCTTACGCGCTTTATATTTTGTCCTTATGCAGTTAAAGCAGTACGATTGCTTTGAAAAAAAAGTTCAGATCTTCCACAATATGTCAAAATAAAGAAAAAAAATTTTTTTTTCAAAAAAAAAAAATTAAAAAAAAAAACTTTTTTTTCAAAAAAAAGTAATTTTTTGTCCAATTTATAGTTTCTCAAAAATCTTATTTTTTCAAAGTAAATTTTTTTCAAAAATGTTAATCGTTTTTAAAAAAATAATAATTTTTGGTACGGGAAGTTCCAGCAATTTGCCTTAAGGCACGATGCCTTAATTGCCTTAAGGCACGATGCCTTAATTGCCTTAAGGCACGATGCCTTAATTGCCTTAAGACAGAATTCCACTTACAGCTAGTCTTATTATTAGTTAGAGTATCTCGAGTAACAGTTGACAAATGCGTATAATGTTGACTAATCTATATTTTCAATTGCAAATAAAAACTAGTGGTGCTGGAATTTTGCGTACCAAAAATTAAGAATTTTTAAAAAAGCTTCGAAATATATTGAAAACTGAAAAAAATATATTTCTAAGAAAAAAAATTACCTTTTTGAAAAATTTGAATTTTTTTGTACTTTGAAATATTTTGGAAATTTTGAACTTTTCTGTACTTTGAAATATTTTGGAAATTTTGAACTTTTTTGTACTTTGAAATATTTTGGAAATTTTGAACTTTTTTTGACTTGAAGCAATCGCGATACGTTAGCTGCGTGGAAACGAAATAACGAAGCGCGTGCGCGCCGCGTTGCTGTCTAACGGATAAACATTGGTACGGAACCGATAGAAATGTATTTTTTCTTATTATTAACTTCTCGAAGGAGAAGTTTATGTTTTCATAAAAAAATCCTTTTCGCTAATTTTATGTTTTTTCGACGTTTTAAGCCATTCTGAATAGAATGAGACCAAATTTGGAAAAAGTATGTTGTGTGTGTGTGTATGCCAACAGATTTTTTGCCGTAAATCGACGTTTTCTCAAAAATGGCTGGACCGATTTCAAAAATTTAAAAGTCATTCGATTTATCTCGATGAGGACTAGTGTTTATCAATTTCGCGCGACAATCAGCCAAAGCCGTTTCTTTGTAAATAGCAGAAAAGTGAAAAATTTGTCGTCCACGTCTGAATCGATTTTAATAAATCAAAAGCTTTTCGAGAGATATTGATTGGGATTGATACTGATGAGTTTTAAATAAAAATCTACCGGGTCGTTTTCTTGTAATTAACTGTTGAAAATAAAATATAGGCCGATTTTTAAAAAACTTTTTTTGAGGATATATATTGTGGCCTTATAAAACATACTAAAATATTACGGCCTTACGATAAGTAGTTTAATGTTAAAAGTTCATCAAAGTTTGAGAAAATATTATAATCATTTGTTTCAAAAGTTGCTTTTTTGATGTGATGAGTTAAACATTATCAATTCAATATGATTTAAAAGAACTAGTTGTGTATGGCTTCGTGCCTTATGGCAAATTGCTAGTATTTTCCGTAACGTAACGAAATATGTCCAGAAATATTAAATGTTTTCATATAGATTATTATAAATACTGTAACATTGTCTAATATTTATAACAGTTATATAAACTGAAATACGAAGTTAAAATTATTTATTAAAAGTATATAATTAAGCTTTAGAACTTTAGCTAGAATTAAAATTAAAATCTGAATTATTTTCGATTTACAAAAAAAATATTTTTGAGAAAAAAAATGGTAAAAAAATTTGGAATAATTTTTTTTAAATCACTAAAATCGGATGCTGCATTCTCTCAAAAACTCCATTTCTATTTTCTGCACTCCCTGTTCCGTATCTTCGTAACGGCTGAACCTGCCTTTTCCAAAAACTAATCAGCACATCTCCCTATCAATAGAAATCGAATGTTTTTTGAATCATTCAAATTGATTGATCCGTGCGTCTGAAAACGTGGACGAAAAATTGTCCAAAAAATTTGTTGTTGAAAAAATCCATACAAACATACACACACACGCCCATTTGTTTCTGAGGTATGCCAAAATGATGAAAAACCTTCAAAACGTGAAGAAAATTTTCAATTTTCTGGGAAATTCGGAATGTTAATAAGCTACAATTTTAGGGCATGCAAGCACGTGCCTGAGCAATATAATTAACATAATTACAGTTAATTTAAATGAGTTTGAGAAAAATCTATTCGAAATCGCAATGTTTAGATTTAATTGAAAGCGATAACTTTATTTTTGAAATAGTTGAGAAATTTATCTAAATATCTAAATTTCAATTTCGATTGATTAAGTCAATTCTTATACATTTCGGGAAGTTCATGCAACTTGCCTTAAGACTAAATTCTACTTTCAACTAGTTATATTTATATTTTTTGGTTCGGGAAGTTCCAGCAATTTGCCTTAAGACACGATGCCATGTACCACTAGTATTTCTTTTATTCTTGACAAATTATAATATTTATAAAAATGATCTTCATACCATTATAATCTATTTATACGAGAGTGGTAAATATAAGCGAGTTGACTATTATGTGACAAGATTATTCTTGAAATTTAATTAATTAATTAATGTTATCTGTTATGGCATGTGCTCTTCCCACTATTGAAAAACATTGTTACGAGAACGGGCATTCTTCGAGCAGCGTCGCTGAACCTTAAACGTCGGCTATATTGCCGGCTGTCACGTTCCGGCTCGACTTTCTCCGCTTGCGACAAAAGCTCCGCGAACTTCTGCACGTGCTTCGGAACAAATACCAATGCGAGGGGCACTCTCGCTGCATAGCTCACGCATTACACAAATCTATGCACGATCACTATGGTCGATATGTTTTTGATTTTAGTATTCATAAATCATTTATTTCTGAAAATTTCATGGCCAAAATTACACAGGTCTTATTCAAAAATTGGCTAGTTTGTAAAGTTTTCGTGACTTTATAGCGTTAAGAAAGCCACAATAGAGTCAGATGTTGAGAGTCGTTGTCACAGTGCTGTCGAAGTAATCAGTTCAAACACGTAAAAACTTATTTTGACAGTGGCTTTTTCGTGTTTTTTAGGGACTTGTTTGTTGATGATAACAAAGTAATTATTAACTTCCCGGCAAGTTAAAGTAATCGCAAAAAAATCGAAAATGAAATTTTTTATTTATCTTTACGTTTCAAAGGTTTCTGAATATTTTGGCATACCTTAGAAAAAATGGATATATGTGTGTGTATGTGAGTGTGTGCGTGTGTGTTTGTGCGGATACAAATGTTCATCAACGATTTCAGGAACACCGATTAACCGATTTAAATAATTCAAAAAACATTCGATTTATATTGATAAGAAGACGTGCTGATTAGTTTTTGGCGAAGGCAAGTCTAGCCGTTCCGAAGATACGGGTCAAAAAGTGTCAAAAATGGTAACTCAGTTTTTAAGAGAACGGAGCGTCCGATTTTAATAATTCAAAAAAACATTTTACTTGTATTGACAAGATGAAGAATTGATCAAATTTTCATGAAGGCAGATTTAGCGGTTTCGGAGATCTGATGAAAAAAGTAAAAAAAATGCCATTTGGCGGTCAAAAATGATCATTAGACATATGCACATCAAATTATCAGATATTTTATAGAGATTTTAACAATAAGTATAAATTTTGTTTACACTCCTATCGGTTCCGTACCAATGTTTATCCGTTAGACGGCGACGCGGCGCTTGCGCGCTTTGACATTTCGTCTCTATGCTGTTAAAGGAGTACATTTGCTTTGAAAAAAAGTTCAGAATTTCCAAAATAGGTCAAATAGGTTCTTTATTTTGATAAAGAAATTTTTTTTTCAAAAAAAAAAGCGTTTGGGATGTAGGTTCCAAGACGTTACCCTGTGGTACTCCAGAGGAAATATTTCTGATGCTGGAAGTCTCGTCATTGTAACTGACAATAAACTTTCTTTCAGTCAAGTATTCTTTTATCGGGAGGTAGTAATTATATGGCAATATCTTTTTCAGTTTGTAAAATAGGCCTTGGCGCCAG